TATTTATTTATTTATAGTTTTTATTATCATTATTGTTGAATTCACACTTTGCATCTGAGGTTGTTTCACTTTCATTCTGCAGGTGCAGGATCGGCCCACATCTATTGAGTGGGAGTCATGTGACCCCAGTAAGCTGTACACACTGGCCATGACCGATCCAGACGCACCCAGCCGAAAAGACCCCAAATTTCGGTAGATTTTCAGATCAGTCAGCCATATTCATCATCACTGAAATAAAGATGAACAGAAGATATTTTAAAGAATGTTTGGGATGTTACACTTTATTTCAAGGTGTCCTTGTTACAGTGTAACTATACATTTGTGACCCTGGAGCACAAAACCAGTCACTAGGGTCAAATGGTTAAGGTTTGGCTTAGGGTTACTTGCATGTAATTATGCATAATTTATTGTTAGTAAGTATAATAGTAAGTACGCGTAACGTGTAACAAGGACACCTTAAAATAAAGTGTTACCAAATGTTTTCAACCAAACTTTCATTATATGAAAAAAAAAATATATATGATGGTAGTCAAACGAAACTGAACTGCTTTGGTTGCCAGCGTTCTTTAAAATATCTTCTTTTGTGTTCTGCATAAGAATTAAAGTCATGCAGGTTTCGAATAACATGCCTGTGAGTAGATAGTAGCAGAAGTGTTATTTTTGGATGAACTATGCCTTTAATGTGGCAGAATATATTGCTTGTTGGTGTGTTATGGTGAGTGACGCTTGCGTGTGGTTCTCTGCAGGCCTCCATCGTTACGTCTGGCTGGTTTATGAGCAGTCAGGCAGCATCAGCTGCTCCGAAGCAGTCCTCACCAATCGCTCTGGAGACAACCGTGGAAAATTCAAGATCCAGTGTTTCTGCAAGAAATACGGCCTCGGTGCTCCAATCGCAGGGTCTTGCTTCCAGGCAGAGTGGGACGACTACGTGCCCAAACTTTACCAACAGCTTGCTGGCAAATAATGTAGAATTTCTGTCTTTTTCTGCACATTTTCACTAATAAACTAAACTGTTCTTTGCTTTAAAAGCTGTGTAGAACTGATGAGTTTCAGGTCATATTTAGTTCTAGTTGAATTGAAAGGGAACTGATCAAGATACTTCAACCTATGCCTTCATTTACATCACTTCGCTTGGAAGCATTTGTGTCCCTGCAGCACAAAAGCAGTCTTAAGTCGCTGGGGTATATTTGTAGCAATAGCCAATGATTTTCTCAATATTTAGATTTTTTTGCAGCCTCAGATTCCAGATTTTCAAATAGTTGTATCTCGGACAAATATTATCCTCTCCTAACAAACCATACATCAATGGAAAGCTTATTTATTCAGCTTTCAGAAGATGCATAAATCTCAATTTTAAAAAATTGACCCTTATGACTGGTTTTGTGATCCAGGGTCACATTGCAGTCTGCCTTCAGTTAAAAAAAGACTTTGCACTCTTAAATAAAATGCAAGGCAAATTTCAGTTGGATTTGTGGCCGCACCTTTAATTTCACAAAATTCTCACTGCAGCATACTGGAAATAAACACATTGTAATAAAATGTTCCAGACTACAATAAGACACCGCTTGTGTGATGAGCACTTTATTTACAAATATAATTAAAAGCTCTGACAGAATCATGCCTCTTAACCTGAAAACAAATGTAAAGTGCATGCGACAGTAAAGCGTTCTTGTTCACTATTTGAGACTTTGTAGAAAATACACAGCCGGAGAGGATGCCCAGAATCGAAACAGAAACCCCAATCATGAAATGAGACAATTTCACCAGCGACTGCAGGAGGGAAAGAGTGGGCGAAACATTTATTATATATAGATGTGTGTGCATGAATATAAAAAGAAATTGAAATTCAGTTAAAATGTAATAGGAAAATAAGTTCTCCATAAAGCCTTCTATACACAAAATACATGTCCCTTCCCCTTCAGCCCTTTGTGCAGGTACCACAAGTTAGGATTGACGTATGCATTATTCACATTGTGCACCTCAGATGAGGTGAATTACGGTATCGTGCATATGAAAAAAAAATCATATTCAATTACCATAAGAATCTCGGGAGTCACAGAAGCAACTATTAAATTTGTTTTAATATGCAAACGTTATCAAATTTCTTCAATACTTAATAAAAGGCATTTTTTCATTTCCTGTGGGTGAATAAATACCAAATAGAGATTCAAGCAGCAAGAGCCTGCAAAAAAAAAAAAATGTTAAAATAAAAAAAATTATTAAATCACACAGCCTATCAAAAAAATTAGCCAAAAATAAAAAATTGTGCACAAGTGCATCTAGATTAAAATTAGCAATACAAACCCCCCATTCATATTGCTTTTGTCTTGAAATCTCTCATTTTAATTACACTGGAAGTGTTATCATTGCACGAGAAAACGTCGACATCAACACTGTGACAGATTTAATCGTCTCGTGTATAATATTCATATATAAAAAGAGACAACTAAAGCACGTAATCCAGCACGTTATCCGCACCAGCCCAGAGGACTGACAGGACCGTCAGTAGAAAAAAGCAGATTTGTTGCAAAAAAAACAACGACAAAACAGAGAAGTGGTCGAGCAGGACAGAGGCAGGATGCTGGAGTGTTCTGTCTCATCTGTAGTCATCTTTAGGATAGTCCAAAGCACCCAAGTTATTGAAACCCATACGAAGGCTCTCCATATCGAAGGCGTCGATTTCTCTCTCCTGACGGTCCAGCAGGTGCTTGATTCGGTCGGTGCGCTCTTTCTGAAGAGAAGCCAGCTCCTCCTCAATCTGAAAACACAAGACAGAAGCTCAAACTAACCGACATAGCTTAAGAGGAACCAGTAGACTACATTATCCCTGAAAAAGGCCTTACTTTGATTACTTTACAATTTGCTAAAAACGCTACGAACTCATTAAACACATATGTGAGCCTGGAGCACAAAAGCAGTGTTAAGTCGCTGGGGTATATTTGTAGCAATAGCCAACAATACATTGTATGGGCATTGCTCCAGTCTTCAGTGTCACATGATCCTTCAGAAATCACTCTAATATGCTGATTTATCATCAGAGCTGGAAACTGTTGCTGCTTCACGTTTCTTTGGAACCTGTGATACTTTTTTTCAGGATTCTTTGATGATTAAAAAGTTAAAAAGAAGAGCATTTATTTAAAATAGAAATCTTTTCTAACAATATACACTACAGTTCAAAAGTTT